GACGAGTCTAGTTTCTTCTTTAGTCCTCCCACAATGACCAGGAGCTCAGACTTCGAAGGGTCAAATCTAATGATGTGTAACGAAACCAGTTGGACTATCCTGTCTAGTTAGACCTAGGCATCCTCAATAGCTTCACTAGGACTTTTATCGACTCGAATAATGACGATGTCGTCTGCATATCCGAATCTACAGTTTGGAGTGCCATCCTCGAGTAGAATTGAGATGTATAATATGAATAGAAGTGGCGAAAGTGGTGATTCTTGAGGGACACCGCACTCACCGGCTTTTCATCTGTTACGTCTTATTCATGTCTTACCAAGACTGTTTGTTGCGTCAGAAAAGATTCTACCCAGCAACAGAGAAATATCGACTAGCCTTGACTTCGCATTCGTGCAAACAGCCGATTATATAGCAATGCATTGAAGGTTCCTTATAGGTACATCGTGACAATAGCTGTGACTTTGTTGGATTTCATTGCAGCTTCTGCATCGTGTGTAACACATGGTACCAAGTCAACTGCTGAGCGTTCTGGTAGCGCACCGAATAGTTGCGGAGGTACTGCTTTGTACTTTATCGCAAACCAGGATACACGTTTAGCTATTAGCCTTTCTAGTCCCTTGCCTAAGCTGGAGAGCAGTGATATGGGTAGCCATCCTTTTGGGCTTGTCACAGCTTGTGAGCCGATAAGTCCTGTAGCCTTCGATGGCTATCGAAGGCAACCTATATGTTCTATCACTCCGAGGATTACTAGCAGACTAAAACAGATACGTAATCGCCACCGAGGCTATGTAAAGGATAGTGCCAAGAGTATCGGAAGCGTTACCCGTCTGGCAGAACAAACAATAAGTCAGTTTCATTGCCACTGTAAACGTAGGCTATATTTAGATACCTCTGGATGTGTATAAGTAGCAGAGACTTGGAGGTAGTTTGCTTCTCCGTAGATGAGTTATAGCTTTACCTTTCAATCATACAAATGCCCAATTGATTTCTATATTCGAACTGTGACAGGGCTGAAGAGATGGCGTCCAATTTTAGGAGGTAGTACAACTTCCGCCACCTTAAAAGGGGGTTGAAAATATTCCAAGTTCAGACATGTCTGAAAGAGGTCCCTGACGTACCTTCCAATCGTGTTCCAGCAAGCCTTGAATAGTCGGATGGTGATTTTGTTATACCCTGGAGCGGTTTCTTTACATCTAATGATTGTCGCTGTAACTTCTTCCAACGATATTTCTCCACTTTATGGAATAGACTCTGGCCGACTATTCTCCCATGTTTCTACATCGCTTCTAGCATCGAATCTTGCAAGGAGGGAACCACACAGTGCGATTGTTTGCTCTGATAGATATGAAAGCCACTGATTTGGTGCTGCCTGGAGAGGAGGAGGCTGTTTCTTCGGCTTTGGTTTGACCCATCGCATGAGTTTGAACACTTGAGCTTCTGTCTCTTCTACTTCGACTTGCTTTGTCTAATATTCGCGTTTTGATGACTTCACTGCGGCTAGAAAAGCCCTTCGTGTCGTTCCTACATCTCCAGATGTCCCTTCAGATATCCTATAGTCAATCTGTCGTGCTTTGCAGTCCTCATTCCACTAAGGTGCTGTTTTCCCTCTTCCTACAGTGGGTGCTCGTCGACAACTTTAGACGCATCTTAAAGTACTCGGATTATATTCCTCGTGAAGTCCTGAAACTCAATTTGACTACTAATGGGGCCAGGCCTTACCCATTGCTTTACGTATCAAGTAAACTTGTCTAGGTCGCAGTCACTGACGCGGGTTAGTCTTGGGATTCCGGATAGCTCCGATTACTCAGGTATGTCAACTGATCCCTCAATAGTAGAGTGGTCTGATGTACAGTGTAAGCGGGTTGATACTGATGAATCTGCAGTACCTTTAATACAGGTTAGATCCAGTACGTTTCCATCACGGTGGGTACTTTCTCCAATATTGCTTAGTAGCTATATATTGTTTTCGCGAGCCCATCCTATGATGAGATCGCCGTTTCCGTATTGATGTTCTATTAACGGCTGCTAGTCCTGTGAAAATGAGTTAAGATCGCCTCTCAGTGCTGAAGAGCCACTGAGATGCCAGTTTCGTAAAGGATAAGAATTCCCACTGTGGCCTGGGGCACGATAGATATTTACAAAGGTCAGTCCACAAATCTGCGCGAAACAGTAGTCTGAAGACTGAATTGATGAAGAGGGTGAGATCTGAGCCGCTCGGTGTCCTTTTCTCACAAAAGTGACAGCGCGCGGTCGTGGTTTCGGTGACGTATTTTCAAAGGGTATGAAGCTATCGAAGTCAGGAATGCTTTTCGTTGTAAACTCTCCGTCTTCCTGTAAGGTCCGTGATTTTTTTACCATGCATATGTGTACTTCTGCATCCCAGGCTTGTTGCAGCGCTATATCCACGTTTGGCCCACCCTTTCCGACGTTCATTTAGTGAAATATAAGGATGCTATATTTGTGGTTATGCTTATGAGACTTTGGTGTATTACTCATTATCAAGCATTGTTTCTTCTGGTATATTAATGACCTCGCGGGCCTTACCTTTTTTTTGAGATCTTAATAAAGCCGCCTTAAAATCCATATATCCTCGCTCTCGAGTAACTCGCAGCTCGGCTGGTGGCCGGGACGTCACTTGTCCATTGTATCGCCTTGGTCGGGCCATGCAGCTCAAGTGGGTTGACTCGTGCGGTCCAGCGCAGTTTGAACATTTGGAGATGTTCACCATGCATTGAGCTACTTCGTGCGTGCCAGAACATTTGGCACAACGCTAACCTTTGACACAGTTTCTTGTTGAATGGTACCCCCACCAGCGTTGACATTACTCAATGAGCCGTCAACAATTAAATGGAATGGCAGGCCTACTCTCTTCGAATAGTCTAAACTTTAGGTTGGCTGGTACTTGTTTAAAGTGTACGATCCAACTAGTGGAATACTGTCCTCATTTTGTATCATTTTGGTGTACCTGTATTGGTGTGACTCCACAAGCTGCCTGGCACTCTATCTTCACCATTTCACTGCTTGCTTCGACCCTTCTGTCTAATATACGGACGCAAGTTGAGATATGAGTAACCATAGCCGATGTCCAATCCGAGGCAGGCTCAATTGTGATTTCCTCCTTTTGAAGTGAAGGTCCTACACCCAGAATTGATTCCCTGAGTGCGTCTGATGCGCACTCCATTGCTAGGCCAGACCTAACTTGTGTCATCGCTATAATTGCTGAAGGTGCGACTTCAGCCTTCTCAGTGATGAGCTTCTTTATTGTGACAGATGATAACGTCCGCCACTGATGTTCCCGGCCCATACTAAGGAAGAATCGTTCATCTTCTTTCGGGGGCTCTTTCCCGGCTAGTATTATCTTCACAACCGATCTTCGTTTTACCAGAAGGGCTGCGGATCTAGGAGCTTGGCTGCTTTCTGAGCTACTGTGGCCCACGAAGAAGCAGTATCCTTGGGCATCCTTGGAAGCTCATGGTAAGGTTTGTCGCCCTAGGTACAGAGATTTTTAACTGTGTACTTTCCGGGGATGGATTCTTGCCTTGGAGAATAGCGGCATTGGTGTTACCTATCGCGAACGCTGTCACGATAGGTGAAATGTTTTCAATGAAAAGCGCGACTAAGGCCGCACCTTCGGTTCCTGACTTGAATTTTGCCTAGGCGTCGATATTTTGCACGAAATCCTGAGCTAGGCTCATTCGCAGATTTCTTTGGCGGTCTGATTGCTCCATGGTGGCAGCAATCCCAAGAAGGCTCGGGCGTAGATTGTCGTCTGGGTCGATAGATGCCGAGGACGACGGCTAGTTGTACGCAGTCATGATACTGCTTAATTTCACGGGTTTGGATATTGGGATAAATGTATTGATACGCATGTATGGGATAAATGTTGGAGATGATGATGTTGCCTCTAGATGTGTGCTCTTGATGATGATGATGTTATGTGAGCGGATCTCTTGTCACGTAGATAATGTAAGCAATACTTACAATAGGATATTTAAATAATCTCCACATTGTTCCCACACTTGAGAATACTTGAGAGTATCTTCAAATTGGTACATTTGAATTTGATTTAATTGCCCTGATTTGGCGCCCTATGGGCACATACAGGTGTCCATACTTTCTAATTTACATGAGAAATCTTTTGGTGGGACACCCCAAACCTTCCTGTTTATCGTCTATATCTTCTAATGTATCCTTTAGGATATGTAGTCACACTGTAGTGCCCTCCATGTTAACCAATCACCTTAGCTTTATCAACCTCAAGAGTGACTTGACCTGCTTCTTTCCTTCGGCAGCAATTCGACCGCCTTTGTAATCTGGAACTTATCTATCAACTGTGTTATCTTTCTCATATCTGCAGGATTGTTTATCATGGCTTCGTAGGATCGATCTTTGGCTTGTCTGCAAATTTCTCCTCCTCCATTTGACCATCGAAGGCAGGACATAATCATGTGCTTTAGGTTCTGTGATTGGTAGCCACATAGACAGCTTGTACTGTAGACTCTAGGCACTTTTCTTCAATATATGTAAGAATTGAGCACTATGGGTTCACTTCGTATTTGGATTGCTAGACTACTTTGGGTCCTTGTCAGGTTGAAGTTCATTCATTGATCAAAGTCATAAGAATATGACTCACGAATTAGACTTCTCTTAAAGTCACAGCTACCTCCTTCCATATTTTCATCCTAACGGCATGTCAATTCAGCTCAACATAGCCTTTCAATTTCTCTAACTTTTTACTTTTCTTTGTATTTTGATGAAAATTCTCCATTTGGCCGGTCATGAGAACTATTTGACCTTGGTCTTGCGGTGCCCTGGAAGCGATGCATGTCACATCCCCATTTTATTTCTGCCAAATCATATCACCTCCTTCAGATGCTGCTTTAAAATGCTGAAAACTCATGGAATTTATAATAATTGGGGCTATCAAGTGAGCCACGTTGCTGATCTACACGTGACTGAAAATTCTGTACTTAGTTTCACTTCGGTAGCTACTTGCATCAATGCGCTCTATACTCTGCCCCAACTCTGAGCCTTGCATTATGGATGGATGGTGCGGTATTTATGAATGGATCTAGTAGTAGTATCTCGAGAGTGGTTGTTATACATCAAATGAGTAAAGAGCCTCGGGGACTGGCTGAAAAAGTGCAGGTGCTATGCTACACGCAATCATGTAATTAGAGAATTGCCCTGCAAACCTAGTTGGAAAGTAGCAAGGGTGAAGCCACCAGGGCAGTAAGCACTGGCGTCCATGCCTCTTGGTAGTTTAGTGGGTAGTAGGGACGTAAGTTAAGCTTGGCGCCCCGACGGACGAAAAAATAGAAAACAAACAATGCGCTCTACAACCTCAATGACTGATATAATTTACCTGCTACTTTTTCTGTAGCGGGTCTCGCGGTTGGAATGAGTTGGGCCTGTAAGCAGTGATCCTCGCCGGCCCCACCAGTCTTGTACCGATAGTGGACCTAGAGCTTTAGCTTAGGACTTTAATATAAATATAAAAAAAACCTCAATGACTGAGGGATCTTTATTTCCTTAATGAAAACAAACTCATTTTATTCGCTCAAAATGATAATGTTCAAGGTAAGAAATCAAGGTTTGTCAGTCACTAATATCAGAGGTGCTAGGTGTTATAGTCAGAGAGATTAACTCAAGCCAGTTGTAAATCAATAGGTTTCTCTCCTTATTTTTTATTATACTCTTCCCCTTTCTCAGTCCATCAACATATAGGACATGCAGATCCTCTCTGCCTACATGCTAAGGACACCTATCTAGAAGAATATCCCCTGTGCCTACTATACAGCTCCCATCAAACAGCTCCACCCCTCATAAGTCTTCATTCAATCATACACTGTTAGGAGCCCTTAACCCTTCACCATCTCCTCTCTCAGGTTAACTAAAAGGAAACCATTTAGGTGTGTATGGCAGCAGGGAAATTTTACAAAAATCACTGGGTGCGGCGCTCTCCTAATACCGACATCAGGGCTAAATCCAAAGATATAGTGACCCTTCTGAAGCATTTGAAGAGAACTACCAGTCGAGCCTAGCAGACCTGCATGTATCTAGGGAAATTAACTCTCTACCTCCCTAGCTTCCTTCAAATTCTTCCCTGAAGTTCGGGTTAAAGTGATAGAAAAGTCTTGAAAATTATGATAACTGTAAAGAAGCTTATCCCAACTTCATTGTACAGAAAAGGGTCCTGGGGAGTGCAGTGGACTCATCGATAATAGAAGTCCTCCTAGCTACTCAGCCCAAAACATAGTCTTAGTGCCCACAAAAGTTATAGATTCGAAAAACTCTCATAGTTGTGAGTCCCATTGAGTCTGTTAGTAACCTCTTCCCTCTGTGGTTCCATATTCTAGCTGCCTATATTTCCTCAAGCTGTGCAGCCCGGTTAGAGAAACAGTCCCCTACAAGCCAGGACCTAGGCTTTGTATATTTAGACTTAATTTCCTTGAAGGTATAATTAGAGTCATAGATATGTTGTGAAGATAGCCGTTAATTAATGAGGCAAACTTTCATTAGCGACTAGAGTATCGTCTTTATCGTCTTTATCGGTCGTTGAGGCGAGGAGATATTTAGTTAGATAGAGTTTGGGGACTTATGAGAATGGTTATGACATTGATGAGAAGTCTTTAAATATAGAAATGCTTGTGATTGCGTTAAACTTTGATTTGGGTGCGATTATTCTTGGATATCCCAGATATGTAAAGCATACTGAGCGATTACAACTGCGGTACTGGAAGTTGAAGAGTTAGTCTTTGCCGGCATCTCCTAGAAATACTGTTTCAGCTCTTTCATTTTGACAAATCCACAAACGCTCAAAGACCCATCACAACCATTAACGGTCACCATCACCTCCAGCCATCAATTTTTAAGCACAAGCATAGGCCCTGCATTTATACTAGGTTGAATAGAAGCTTCAACTATCTAAATTATGAAATTTAGATTGGGGTTAACCAAAGCTGGCGAAGTAATTTTTCAAGGAAATACCCGATCAGTTGAGACTTAAGTTGAGAATAATAAGCAGAAATATCAACTTTAAACCCTCAAAATCGGCCTGAACTATTTCAAAGGACCAAGGTGAGCTAATTAAAAAGCTTGACATTAATTAGTCTTATATGTAGAAAATTGTAGCTAAAGAAGCTAAAATAGGCGTAGGGGTATTTATAAAGCCAGAGAATGAAATTGAACAGTCAGAGGTATATGTTGTCCGTAGCTAGCTGCAGTTGAAATTAGTTGTGGCGATATAATATAAGTAGAAAAATAATAGCAAGGTTTAAACTTGGCCAATTTTTGAGGTTAGCACAGATGACCCAAGTTTAATTAACATTGGATTGAATTCAGTTCGTGTCCCTACGGAGTCTACAACTATAAGGAATGGTAGGCCATCTAAAAAGCTTTGAAACTTAAAATTTATTTGTTCAATATTTACCAATAAATTCTGAGGGCCAGGCTCTGTTCAATCAACATTGAATGATCGTAAATTCTAGAATTTGGTCACATTGAGTCAACAGGTTTAATTCTAGCCATGAGTACTTATCCCCAATACGTAAGTAGACTCATCAGAACTCTACTGCACTTACCTGGGAGATGGACACTCTAACTCACATCTATGACAATGCACTAGGATCATCATTAACCGCCAGTTTGCCATCGCTCGCGGGTGAAAAGTTAGCCGTTATTTCAGAGCTAAATGTCATATTGGATTAGTATTTGAAGTACATGTATCTCTGCGTACAGTTAAATTTTGGTCCATTAATCAAATGTCTGTAGAATCAATTTAAGTAGCGATGTCGCATAAATCATCGCCTAGCATTGATTAAGTAGTCGCCATTACACCATTTTTATCCTGGTCATGCCATAATGTTGACTAACAATGATAATCCGATCGCTGTGCATCATGGCTTTAATTCTTCTGTGACCACTCCCTATTTAGCCTGTTGTAAAAGGTATTTCTGGACTCTAATACAGTCCTAAAATTTTGAGGAGGATTCGCGATGATGAATAGCTTGCAAGGGGCAAATGTAGGCCAAGGGAGGTAGAATGTCTGGATGTAATCAATCCTCCTATTTCATGTTGATATGCTTAATTAAGCCAACGCTACTGTCTTTTAACTAAAAGTATTAACCTGTAGCTTAGTCTCTGATGTAGATGTTAAATTTATTCCCATCTCTTCTGCCGTTTCGAATATAGTGCTCACTTGTATACAGTTCGCGTTGAGCCCATTAGTAGAATTTGAATGGTATGGGCCCTTATCCCACGAGAAATAGTAGATGGCCAGTTAGGTCCCAGAAATTTCCAGTTACACTTCTCATAGTAAATTCGCACAGAGTGAGGAAAATATATCCGTCTACAAGTGAGATCACAACTACACTGCTGTAAATTTATGTGGAATACGGTTAAATATGAAAAATTAGCAAATAAAGTTCAATGTATTCTTTGAAAAAAGGTCTTGAATATGAGTACAGATGATTTTACAAGAGTCATTCGAGATTTTCACAAGATGATGGTCAGGGGCCATTTACAGTTATCTATGTACAAGTTAGATGACACCTTTCAACTAGGATAGTACGTAACGTTATTTTAGACAGGTATTTGCTATCAAAGACTGCGATGTGTACAACTTGTTCGACAGAAGGTCTGCTAATCCGAGCGCAGAATGTCATCTGCGCAATAATAATCGAAGGGTGATCAATATTTCATGTAATCTCATGTCTTACTGTGTAACCGGTTATTAACATTCATCTCGGGAGACAGGACATGCTTAGATTAGATCCCGAGGACCATAACGGTCTTTAGTTTTGCAATTTACCATCAATAATGAAGTCTTTTTCCTCACTATCTATGAGAAAATATTGGGAATAAAAATGGTTGAATTTATCGAAATTTGTATGTATCTTTTATTTAGAAGCTAGAAGTCCTCTATAGTCGTAGACTCAGATAGGACTATAATAAAAAAATCAAAATCAATGAAGTCTTTCGCTGACTGGTCACATATTAGTACGCACCAGGTAAAGTTTAAAGTGCTTGATTCGCATTGTGAGCAGCATCTGCATTTGATATGCGTAAATTTTGCTTCTCGCTCATGTTTGCGTTTGTTCTGGCTGTTCAATTGCAATAGTTTACAGCCTGTCGCACAGTCACGTTAGACTGAATGAAGTACACAGATAGCGCTGGATCAGTCAAATCATCGAATAACATGCTCGTTCAGTGACATGAAGGCATTCTTTAGTAAAGACGGCACTGGCCAATTGTCCAAAGCCCATGATTCCAGAAAATAGTTCACTAGAACTATACCTAAAATGAATACAAAGAACCTTGCACATCAAATACTTGATTTAGGTGCTTTAAGGGATAAGTTTCAAAATTTACTCGATTTCATCAGCGCTTCACTCATAAGATTGTCACATTTGAATCTCCCGACGGTCGAGAATTGATGTCCAGATGAGTAATTAGAGCCAATGTAGTTTCGCAAAATTGACTATATGAATTATGGACCTTCGGATAGTGGCCAGCAATTAGGGCAATCCTTGGCTTTATCCGGCATTTAAGATTGCCTAAGATTCCCGGCATCTACGATTCGAAGCCAAGAGCTGCCACTAGGTGAGGGCGTATTATAATGACCGTTGAACTGACTTCACACAGACCGTCAGAGGTGCGCTGAAGAGGAACCTGCTGGCGTCAAAGTTTGTGAAAGGTGCCAAGCATTCTGCATAAGGCTAGATCGTCTGATGGGTGATTCTCCCGAGTGAAAGTTGCAGTTAAATTATCCATCCAAGATCGTTAGGGAGCCACGCACTGCTGGTTTGTTGCCAATAGGTTACCGGCTGGTCCTGAAAAAACAACCAATACGTAGGGGTAACGAATACTCCTATTCTTAAACGTAGTAATATCCTCATACCCAAATCCTATAAATTTAATGCTTGACTCATGCGAGTTGTATTGCTGATTGCTTGGGTATTCACGCCTTCCCGAGCGCGAATCTGTCCTGCAACTTGACTGCATGACGAATATCGTCTGTAGCTGCGTATAGAAAATGTGGCTAATTGCGTATTGTGACTTGGAACTCATGTCATCCGGCTTAGCTAATTGCTTCCTAATATCGCTAGCGGGGGCTCAAGCTAATTTTTGCTTTTCCCTTTCGTGGAGGCTATTCCGCTTAGCTGCGGATAGCCCCCGCTCTGTTTGCCCAGCTTTATTTAATGACAAATGAATATTAGTTATTAACTCAATCCTCCTTCGCACCCTGGATTTATCTGAGCAACAATTGTCAGAGGTCGTCTTGCAACTCACCTATTTTTTTCCCGTTCATTGACTGGTTGGTAAAAAGTATAGACTTTCCATGTCCAAGTGGCCCGTACTTGAAATCTGAGAGTTCCCTGCAAGGTCGGTTGCCCGAAGATCTGTGCCAAGCCTATACTGCGTCCTACTTTTCCAAATCCAAAGTTCAGTTTTAGGTGACCGACCTGGTAGATCCTCTCCCTTTCAAGAACCCAACTCTGGGCTTTGACTATTATGTCTCAACCAAAACAATCTCAGCTCGGTGCAACTTTCGTGCCTGGCGGATACGATGACATTTGTATGCCAGAATTCGTACCACCCTTGCCACAACGCACCACGTCCGAGATGCCATCCAACATGCAGGGCGAACTTCAGCACTTCGATCATGAAGCAAACAAACCACGGAACAGAAGCATATCTTCCAATATACCATTGAAATCTCCAATACTTGATCAAGACGAAGGGAGGCTAAGTACTCTAGAGAGTAGGCAGGTCATCAAGCCTGGCTATGAGCACACTAATGGATCTGTCTATCAAAATATTAGCAACGTTTACAGGCCCTTTCTACGCACCGAATCTCTACAAACTAGTCCTTTCCCCAAAGTCCGAAATTCTGGCCTCAATGTGCCATTATCAAGCGAAGATAAGGGGGAGGTATTGGAACAAGCAAGACATCAGATTCTCAAGTCAACAAATCCCGAGGTTCAACTAGCATGGGCTCAAGACGCACTGTCCTGGGCAGATATTGAAAATGACTATGTTATGCGTACAGAGTCCAATGACCATCCCACAAGACCCATGACGCCTAAGTTAGAGCATCAATTGCGGGAAGATGCGGTCAATATAGTTAGACATTTAGGAGAACAAGGGCACCCAAAAGCAGAATTTATACAAGCATACTGGCTCGAGTTCGGAAAGTTTGGTTACCGTATGAATAAGAAGGAGGCATTTTTAGGCTACATTCGAGCAGCAGATAATGGATATGCTCGAGCTCAATATAGAATCGGTATGCAATACGAAAACTCAAACAATATTATCAAGGCGGTGGAACATTACTGTAAAGGTATTGCAATGAAAGATTCGGCTTCACATTACCGACTGGCTATGATGAATTTGCTGGGTCAGCATGGCACACCTCAAGATTATGGCCGCGGAATTGATTTAGTACGATTTGCTGCCGAAACTGCAGATGAAAATGCACCACAGGGTGCTTATGTTTATGGAATGCTTCTGGCACGAGAGCTACCCAACATTGATATTCCTGAACAATACCTTCCATATGATGTGGTCGAAGCTAGACTCTATATTGAGAAGGCTGCTTACTTGGGATTCGGCAAGGCCCTATCCAAGATGGGGCTCGCTTATGAATTATGTCAACTCGGTTGTGAATTTGATCCTACCCTCTCTCTACACTACAATGCCCTGGCTTCAAGACAGGGTGAAGCTGCCGCAGATATGGCCATCAGTAAATGGTTTTTGTGTGGATTTGATGGGATATTCGAGAAAAATGAAGAACTAGCTTTCTCGTATGCCAAGCGGGCGGCTGCAGCTAAGTTGCCTATGGCAGAGTTTGCCATGGGATATTTCTACGAGATAGGCATGTATGTTTCGGCCGATTTAGCAGAATCAGAGAAATGGTATCAAAGGGCGGTAGATCATGGGAATACTGATGCCCTTGTTAGAATCAATAGCATTAAGGCAAATAACACATTTTCCAAAAAAGATCACGAACAAATTGCTATCAAGAAAATAAAGTCGCAATACGGCTCACAGATCGGGACAAGGCCAGATCGATTCAAAAAGCTGTCACCATCTATCGCAACAACTTCGGCATCAGTAATAGATATAGATCGAACAGACATGCCTGACGTTAGACACACATATAGTAACCCGCCTCTTCCAAGAAAAAATCCAAATGAATCGCGCAACTCATATAGTTCCCAGATGAGGGCTGATGCAAGCGAGACTCGAAACTCTCACCTAGGCTCATCTAGGGCGGAAGTACATGATTCGAACAAAACTTACAGTATGTCACCAGTACCACCTCGTCGGTCATCAAATATGCCTCCCAATCATCGTCCTGTTTCACTTGCGCCTTACCCTGAAGATGACGAAAAAATACCCGGATATGGCCTCAATATTCGTATTGGATCTAGTGCTGGTCCTCAATCCGATAGACCAGTGTCAGCTTTTGGAATAAAACCTATCGTCACACATCAAAATCTAGAGCCATCTGAGAAAGCGCTTAGCCCCAGGACTCACAGTCAGATTCGCCCATCAACAAGTATGGGTGCTATGCCGTCTATCCATAGCAGAGATAGCTGTGTAGGTGATCAGGTCAGTTCACCTGGCCGAGATGTTCAGCAGTCTAGCTACAGCCCAGATGGATCAGGTCGTGGTAGATTCTCCTCCTCAAGTATCAACAAGCCTCGTCACCCTCCCTTCTCGGAAGAATATCATAGAAGGCAATCAGCATCAAGCCATGAAGGTTCTTTATCAAAAAGGGACTCCTCTGGGAAACAATTCATGAGGCCGGAACGAGTAAGCTCCGCTAATATGCCACAGCTACAGCAAAATTCCAGTCGTTTGTCACACCGCCAATCACAACAGGCTGCATTCTCTCAACAGCCAGGACTATCTCCAAAAGACTCCAGGTCTGATTCAAGGCCACTTCCATCACCACCTGTAGTTTCTCCAACTACCCCAGGGCCCAAAAAGACAGGTCCCGCCACCTTTGAGGAGATGGGAATCCCCGCTGCCAACAAAGAAGGAGACTGTGTAAGAATTCTCCCTGGAGATTATATAAACGCTAACATAAGCTAGTGTGTGATGTAATTAAAGTTTGAGTAATACTTGTTCGTATACAAGTGAAATAAATTTGAGAAAGGGAATCTAGGAGCTGGCGTTGAGTTGAGCATTATGATGGATTCGTTGACGCAACCCTAAAAAATACAATTGCAATTTTGGGTATTACAGATACCCTTGAAATTTCCTTGAGCCTTGTTCTCTGTATTTCTAGTGGAGGGTGAGCTATATAATAAGGTTTTATCATGTGATGAACTGCTAAGAATGGTTCCTTCCTTTTTGAGTAAATGCATGAAGTCCCAATTGCGGCCATTCGTCATGATGCAGAGTGTTCTCTGGCGTTTGTAATCTAGATTACGCGTTCTCGTAATTTTACTCAGCTTGAATTCATCAAACTTATATCTTGCCAATTTAAACTAGGACCTCGAGTTTCTGAAGCTACAAATATTTACTTCATCCTAGATGCCGCCACGTAAGCATAAGCTTGAAGAAGTAGGAGTTGTTACGTCAACTATCATTCCCTCGCCTAGCGTAAAGACCGATAAGCTCAAGGTTGAGAGGCAGAGGCTAGAGAAGAAGCCCAAAGTTGAAAAAGTAAAGAAGGATAAGGTTAATTGTGAAGAGGGAAAGAAGGAAAAGTCAGATGGTAAAAAGACTGAGTCTCTGGTAAGAGCAGTGAAGGAGAGCAAGGAGAAGGTCGCAACTATTCATGGGGAACAAGCTAATGAACTGTTGGTCACCTACTTGAAGGAGCAAAATCGCCCATACAGCGCGACGGAGATTAGTGCAAACCTACATGGCAAAGTATTAGTCCATCGCTGAAGATAGGGGTATAAAGACTAATATTTTTTCTCCAGGTGGCTAGAGCAATGGCAGACAAGCTGTTAAAAGAAATGAGTGAATCAGGAAAGATTAACTCCAAGTCTACTAAAGGCAATGAGAAAGGATCACAATGGGTTTTCTGGGCTCTCCAGGATTCGGGTGATACTGTGAGCGCAGAATATTTAGCTCAGATGGACGAAACTATCAAAAGTTTGCAAGAAAACGTTGCAGCCTTAAAGGTTAGACTAAAAGCGGCAGTCAAAGACCTCGAGGCAGCCCGAAATGCGCCGACGCTAGTAGATATATCTGAGAATATAACCAGATTACATGAAGAGAATCGGGTTAAGAGGGAAAAACTAGAAAGATGCCAAATGGGTGGTGATACGGTCGTCACCAAGGAAGAGCTCATACGGATCGAGAGAGATTTTCACTATTGGCCTAAAAAAAGAGCTGCGAGAAAACGGGCATTCCAAAACTTAGAGGACTTATTGCTGGAAACTAAGAGTAGAGAAGAGCTATGGGAGGAAGCGGGGATTGAAGAGGATACTTACTGATACAGATTTCTAGAGGTTCCAAGCGTGTTTCAACCAAGATATTGAGAAATTTCAAGATGTTTATCGCATTCAGGAGTCTGATTTTCCCACATCACTTAAGGATTTGGTGAAGATGAATTTATTTTTCTATTCTATGATCAGTTTTATTGGCTTTGGCAAATATAATAGTAACCACAAGGTTTAATTTCTATCCCATTTATCTTGACTTGGCTAAGTGGATCAAACTTCATGTAAGGTTATAGATATTTCGGAATGCCGTGTAGCCAAGTTTTCATCAAATAGTTAGCTGCATGTTATAACATAGTCTATAAAAGGACCATATTTTGGTAGTATGAATTGTTCTATGTAATTGCGGTGTTCAGGTTGTCGTTAGGAGTCTGGTAGAGATCTGACTCAAATCGTTAGCAAGGCGCTCGGGTTAAAGGAAGAAATAGACAACGTTATATGTATATCGAGAAAGCAGTTAATTGACTTTATTCAGCGACTTTTTTTTTGCATCAGATTTTAATTGCGTATGCAGCTATCTAGCTTTGATACAATATCAAAGAAAAGTATAGAAAATATGACTCAATTTACAAGAGGAGCACTCATGCCTCAGATTTCATTTGCAAGTAGCTCTGCGAAGTTATGGTGGCTTCTTCTTCACCCCAAGTCAACCCTCATCCGTGAGTACCCACCCAGGGGAACGTCTCAAAAATCCTGAGTTATCCAGACATGCCTCCATCATCCACTTAATTTTCTCCGCGCGAAATGTGATCTGAGGCGTCTCCTTCCCAAGTGGAGTAGGTGTCCAGGCTACTCGAATCATACCAGAGAACAGCACCAGGAGGCTGACCACGGTACCTTCCATCGTTTGCTTGTTTTTATAGTGTCAGCTGCAATCGTGTCAGTAGGTAGTAGTCATACGACTTAGTGCGGCTAGCTGTGTCACCTACAAGGCAGACACGCCTGCAAGTCGCAACAGAAGAGGAGCTTTATTTTATTTTCACGCTACCGGGCACTAATTACAACTAAAGTCCCGTTCCTGAGAGGACTTGTTGACTGCTATATAATACTAGATATTATTAAGGAAATAATGACCCCTCAGTCATTGAGGTTGTAGAGCGCATTGATTCAAGTAAATACCGAAGAGAAACTAAGTATAGAATTTGCAGTGGTATGTATCAATAACGTGGCCTACTTTAATTGATTGATTGATTTAAATTTAAGCCTCTACTGAGTCCTAGACTATGAAAGACTACTTAAGGATTTACCCAAATAGCTCTTTAATTTATAGGTTAATTTTTAATTTGAATATTACAATTATATGCCAGTTGATCCTGAGGGTCATGCCCTATCGTGGCCTACTTGATAGCCCCAATTATCCTAAATTCTAATAGATATGATGTGCAGTAGAATAGAGTAGAATTTAATTTAAGTACCAACTGAGTCTTTGACTATGAAGGACTGCTAAAACTATGTGGAAAGCTCTGAATTTTAATATCAAAAATGTTTCTTGATACTTTCAATGTTTGCCAATAGATGTTGAGGTTCATGCCTGTTAATGATGTATACTGGCAGAGGCCATGAAAATATATTTAGAAACTGCGAGAGCTATGCAGCGGTTTCCTCACAAGAATAGCTCACATGGTACGGAGTGGGCAGATATCCAACAGGAACCTAACCTTCTCCAAAATGGTGACGAAACGCTTAGTTCCTGGGGAGGTGCTGAGGGGAAAGTCAAGTGAGCCCATACTTCGTCAGTGACCGGCCGAAGAGACTCTTTCTCGCACAAGGGGGCAAAAAACCAAATGAATGATTGACTTGTTAGTCCCGCAGGAACAAGTCAGGAGGGCATCAAGATGATGAAACTTTTCGTGTTAAGCACGAAAGTCACCGTGTCGAGTACGGCATTGGATTAAATACTCAAGATAACGGTGAGGGAGTCGTAGTTCTTCAGAAGGTGTTGTGCTGGCTCGGTTGAGGTGTTAGGAGACAGGGGAATAGAGGATGGGCTGCTGTATTAGGAAAGGGTGATGGTGTATAAAGTCGTAAACAATTGGTATCTTCAACTGAATAGTTGTGGGGGACTATTCTCAACACCTGTCAGCAGTGTCCCCTACGAACCTCCAGCTCTCACTGTAGAGTCTGCAGAGCCGAGATTGAGTAACAAAGTCCTCACTCCGACGAGGATTCCCAATCGCTTTCGCCGTCTGTATCGTCTTCATCTCTCAACATATTCCCCTATCACCATTATCATGAAGCTAACCACGATCAGATCAGATGATCGGAGCCCTACTCATCAACTACCCTTGATCATGGAGGAAAAGCCATCCGATGAATTTCCGGAGCGTATCCAGCACCCGATACGGAGATGGTGGATTGGATCAAGTCGGCCTCGACTGTTACAGAGAAGGGGGATATAGATGAATATACGCAACTCATGTGGTCCCGGTGTCTAGGCCTCGCCTGGCTGGGGCTGCAGGTTTTTCGAGACTTTTTCCCGCGCACGCAGTTTTCATTGCTACCATTTTTGTTTTCTTTGGGTAGAAGGTTCCGTGGAAAATGTGGCTGAATTCAATGGGTAAACACTGAGCTGTATGGCTATTCATGACTGGCAATATACCAATGATCTTTCAAGTAACAAGAGAGGATAGGAGCACTGTACAAGGTGTGGCCTGGGTCAGAGAGGAGCCAAATGTGCTAGATGGTCATAGACTCAAGTAGTTTAATAAACAAAAACACACACGAAATGTTACAGGGAAAAGGCCGTAGATGGGTAGCTGTAAGCTCCCCTAGGGATATCAGTGGTTATCTTAGTAGTCAATTGCTGGGAAGAATAAGATAGGGCGCAGGGCGCTTTTGTTTGGACACACTGCATTACTTTCTTATGGTTTATTTGGCAAGTAAAGCCATGCGCGTTGTTAGAAATCAAGGTTCTTGCTATTGCGCCTTTTTTATTTCTTGTACAATTCCTGACAGAGTCCAATGCCAAGCTATGGCTCTATAATTTATCCAGTCAATAGATAGGAAGGTTCGGTTGCGAGAAGTCATACATGATGTAATCATTCTGGTATCGCATGTGAAGTAATTGTTCTGATATCATTTGTTGTCAACAAGTTTATCTGGTCTGATATAGCTCTGACGTCGATGGTTCACTGAAACTTATGTAAGTATTTAACAATTAAGAGTAGAAAATCAATGAATTCAAATGATATAATCCTTACTTTCCACAACACACGTAGGTAGTAGTGAGTCTATATAGACCATATACCCGTATAACGACTATTGGATGTAGGGCATATGCCTGATACGAATAGCAAACAAAGAAACTCACAATTCGAGAATTCCCAATTTGTCCATTCCTATCCATTTATCCAACTCATCCTATTATTAACGAATCGAATCGTGATTTTTTGACATCGGCGACATTTCAAACTGCCTCCCATGCGTAAATCGCACAAAAACGCGATCAGCGGTATCACCAATGATCGCGTCAACAAACCCTACAAATTGCTTGAGTATATTCGAAATATTGCAAGACAAAAACTTACGGAGAAAGGAGTAGAGGCGTCCGATAAAAATTTAGACACCATCGAGGCTGCGCTCGAAGCAAACAGTTGCAATATACCCGAGTTAGAGATGTTGGACGCCGAAGTCCAGAAGTTGAAATCT